CAGGGTCATGGAGGGTCAGGCCGTGGGGCGAGAAATAGCAGGGAAGTCTATGCAGGCGTCCATTGTGGGTGAGCATGCCAGTGGTTGTTAGAGTAAGGAGCACTCTCGTATTTATCTGCATACAGTCACACCGTCCCCCTTCTGGGTCCGCTCCAAGTGTGACCTCAGTTCGCCCAAACAACTCAGTGAGGTTCGTGGTGCGTTGTACTGCAATTCGATTTTCTAGAAAACACCATAGCAGGGTGAGAATATTCCAGGTAATTACGTATGCCAACAAATTCGCTTACATAAGTATATAGTTTTAAAGTTAACATGACACTTAGGTAGAATGATATTACCGACAAAGAAAAGGGAGACTGGAATGGCCATTTCTGGCTTATTAGCCGTTGTCAGCCAGCCATATCCAAGCCCGAAGTGTGGAACACCCGAGCCTCGAACACACTTAGGTTTAATCACTAATTTTGTCGCCTGACAAACTTTATAGCTACTGGAACATCCCCAAGTAACAGAAGAAGTTAATTTTTATCACAGGCATGTCGGTATATTTTCTGTAGTTACGCAAATCTTGGACTGGAGGATTTCCTGTCAAGAGTTTGCAACATGTACTGGACTATCCACCGTCTGGACTAACCGGATTACAAAACTACGCGACTTTTTTTCATTTACAGAGTTTTATAACGCTACCTCCTTGAGCGCAAAACAAGTATGCTTTCTTGCATAATGAATCACAACCGAGTGGTTATACTCTGCGAGATTCGATAAGCCTCTATAAGTATTTCTCTTGAGAAAGTGGATACCTCACAAGAGCATTCGGAAACACGTGGAAACTAAATCACCAGAATCGGAAGCGCATGTCGATGAGAAGCGTAAGCTCTTCTTCGGGCTCCGTCTTCAATTCCAATCATTGAGCTACCTGCTGGGCCGTCGGTTAGAGTCGACTATTCCTCGTCCATATACTTCGGTTTTTCGTACTTATTTCACATCTTTGGGACAAGCAGGGTATTAAGGCCCCATTTACGAGCATATACATTGTCTTTTACTTTCTCTCTGAGGAGTTGAGTACGTAGGCACTGTCATTTCTGGCTTACCGGATACTGTACCAGCTTCATTCTAGGAGTTTCCTGCTGACCGATCGAAATCAACAAACCACCGTATCCTGACCCATCCATGGCGTTGTCCATAAGGCCAGACAACCCTGCTCTGGGCACATTAAGGCAGTTTTTGGAGTCTTGCAGTTGTCACAGTCAAACCTGCTTGTCATTCTATCGCGAACGGGCATAACAGACAAATTACAGCGTTCCAAAATAGGGTCCCTCCACCTCCTCTCCACTTCACTCCTCCCTGTAGTGGGGGCGGTCTGATTCGCCCAACTCTCGCACCCCGTGTTATCGTGAATAAATGGTTTCGTTCTTCCTCCGCCATTTCCTCTTCCGCCGGTCTCCAAGTCGAAGATATTCCCGGGACAAACATTACGGAATCACTGATATGTTCCTCCCGGACCGTCAATATTAATGCAAATGTTAAAAATGTCAAATGGCTTCATTATAACGATCGTCAATCGCGCATAGCCATCGGTCACGATAAGACGAGATAGTTTGGAAGATAGCAAAGAAGTTTAGATGCCTGGAAATGCCAGTGCGTATTAAAATGCCTTCGAAATTTAATTAATTTCCCAACCGCACAAGTTAGTTTACATGAGGAAGTTAAACATGCATTAATAGAAAATGCCTTAGTCTGTTTACTTAAAACCTTTATGCGACAAGGGTACGGCTTGCATAGACTACTTAAATCTCACGGGGCGTATGTCGCTATCTGATTGGTCGGCATCTCTGGTTTCGTAATATCCTTTCTAGACATCTAGAGGCCGTCATAATTGCAAAAGCGAGGCTACCATGAAAAATATCTGGCCGTTATTCTCTCCTGGCTAAAAAGTGGGTGTGCGCAAGCAAAAGGTATCGTTCCGTTTGGTCGCTCGGCCTATATGCACTGACCTCGGCAGTTAAGTACAATCGCGGATTATTAAGGTTAAAGGATCACTGAAAGAAGTCCGGCTCCTCGGTCTGCGGCCGTGTCCAATGTCCGGGAAGACGGAGAATGAACTATCTTTCCTAGCCATCAGCCGTCACGGGGACAGGGATGTTTGTTGTCTGTGTCTTGCTCCTCCGTCAACTAATCTTCGCCGGGCATCTACTGTCTAGTACAGTTCTGACATCAGAACATAATTTTGACAGGCAGCTGAATGAAGTCTACAGGTGCTGCTTGATACGACCACCGATTTCAATTTTTGAGAATGTCGGCTGTTGCGGCACAGAATCTGGGCAAAATGCCAAATGTAAATAAGGGGCAATCTGGTGCTCCCATCATCAACACCTCAGGTAGACTCACCTAACCGACGAAATCCCAAAAATCACCTATGTCCACCTAACACAGCGGTTATCAGGCTGTCAGGGGCCTTTGTTGCCAAAGTCGTCTTCATGTGCTAGACTGTGAAAAAATCGTTGACCAGAGTGTCTACTCTCTTGGCTGCGTCGTATACTAATCTGATGATAAGTACTTTTGTGCTCTGCGATTAATACGCGATTACTAACACTCAGGTCACGAAAATCTACTCATTGGCAGCCTCCCCTAATACATCTTATGGCATTCAGCGTTCGCGTGGGGTCGAGCATTTCATTTTGCGTTAACTCTGGGCACACGCAAAATATCCCTTATTTGAGGCACATTTCCGGCACCCATCATATTACCAGTTCTAGTTCTCAGCTGAGTGGTAGCAGAGATGATCGCAATAAGTATTAAGGAGAGCGAAAACGGTCTGGAGTCACGGGCTAAGGCGAAGGACGACTTGATTACGCACACGTGAAATTAGGTAACAAACCAGTCTGTACTGGAGCATAGAGCGCATGTGGGGCTTTGCTCACTCCTGCGGCCCAATCAAGTGCCGGTCGAACGTTCGAGATTTTACCGAGGGACGCTCGCGCATGCCACGGCCAATCCACAACCAACATGCCATAGGTCAGGATGTTCTAGAACGTCCTCCATGCCTAACAAGTCATAGACTGTAATGTTCCTGGGCGCCCAGGACCCAAAAACAAGGCGTCTTTCGATTATTTGGAGACCGTATTTCGAAAGCTGTGAGAATAAAGTGGTTATCCCAGAACACACTTTCCTTCTCTTTCATCTACCCGTAGGGCTATAACAATAAAAACTGTCAAGACGCCGGAGGAGCCTTGATTTTCCTTGTTTTCCGAATTATAACCAGAAGAAAAGATTGGTTTATGTCGCTTTAAGGTCTCGACTTTTAATGAATGCTCCATCTCTCGCTTCGCCACCTTTCCGTCGTCACTGGATTTATAGGTCAACATGAGGGGTAAACTTCATCAGGAAACCTGTGTGACAGAGTAGGTTCTTATATAGGTAAACTATGAAATTTCACTCTCTAGATGCCATCAGACAGGATTCAGTAATGTCGGTGTTTGTTATGAATGGGGACTTCCTTGCTGCGGTGATTGAGCACTACCCTCATCTGTCCAGTTCACTGAAGAGGGATGCTTCTGCAGGAGTCGATATTGCCTGTCGATTAATCTCACCGAGGTTGCTCAATCTGCAGAAACGGCATACCGCCACAACACAGTTATGAACTCACGCCAAATTTTTGAGGGAGGTTGCCTGTTCCGGTAGTTTTTTCATCAGTATCCAAGTGAGCAAAGCCGTTGCGACGATTATATGACTCTCAGACGAATTTATCTACGCTGCAGTAAACTTATGTACAGTACGTGACCTATGTCATGAAAACTGATAACGGAAATGATTGCGTCGGTTTGCGAGTGATTGGGAATCATTCGTAGATTTCGACAAATTTCATGAGTCGGATCACATACTGTCATATCTGCTTCATTTCTCCCAGTCACAACCACCACCTTCCAAAGGTGGATAAGGTCAGCGTGATTAAAATTCGGTATCGATGCAATGGCTTTTTGGTGCAGTTCTCATCCGCTCACGCTGTCTCCTACGAGCACACGAGCCAAACACTGAAACATACGCTGATCTCTCATGTATAAGGACCTTTATCTGCGAATGTCTCTGGTGATGGATTCGAGTGAGAATCCGAAATGTCAGGCCAATAAATTTCTTGTTCCAGTGATGGCATCTTCGTCTTCTAAGTTTTGTTGTAAATGTCACCTGAACGATTTCCTGCGACCTGACCCTCAGTTCACCTGACAAACGATTTATATTGCCAGTTGACGGCCTTCCTAACTATGTCTTCAAAAACGCCGGACTTTTTTTAAAAAACGCAATGGATATTTCGGAGGATGGAACTGGACGCTGATTCATGTGGAATCCGTCCTCGCTCTCCCTTTCTCTTGCCACCATATACCACTGGCCATTCGGAGTCAAGTCAAATGAAGATGACAGCGGGCGTAGTGACTGACAGGGCCTAAAGTACCCGTCCCACACCCGCCACAGAACTTTGAAACTCCCTTTACGCCTAGTATAATGGTGCAGTCTCCGTAATCCACTGTGTAGCTCAGTGTGGCCGCAGTTTTTGGTTCGACGGATCGATGCAGTCCACCTCGGAAATAAGTCTCAGAAGTTGCATCGCAAATCAACTTCACAAAACTGAGATGAGCAATGCGTCCAGTGTGGTTTTGAAATTTCAGTGCACGATCTTTTGTATAAAATATTTCCTGACGCATAATTAAAGTAAATCAATGTATTTAGAGTAAATGACAGAAACCCTTGAAAACTCCATTAAAAATACAAGTCTGTATGAAGAGCAGTTAAGCAGCAAACACTTGCAGGTAATTTCAGCATTTGAAATATATAAAACTGATAGTTAAACAGGAGTGTTAAAAAGATAGTCAATCTGCCAAGTAACAGCGATCAACGCACTGATTGCATTTGCAAGCAACAAGTTCAGCAGCGCTAAAGGTAATGCCAACAAAATGGTTTATTGAAATAAAGATAGTAGCATGTCGATAGTTATAAAAGGAATTCATCGGATGGGGTTCGTGAAGTTCTGGCTGAGCTTTAACAGGTGAGTATCCAGACGCCTGGCTAACACGCTCTTGCTGGTGAAATGCACGCATAAGTCGGTAAAAGGATCCCACTGTCCAATGACTCTGTCAGAAAAATAAGAACTGTTGATAGTTGCGATACAACTCCTTTTTAAATTGGCAATCATGGCGTCGTAGGTTCGTCTTCGGCGCCACTTCAAAAAGGTTTTCCCAGTCCACATCAATATCGAGCCCCCGTAGAGACTGAAACGTTAGTATACGGTTACCTCTACCTTGACTATAGTAGAGGAGGGCAGAAGGTTAAGGTGGTCCGGCGCAGTTCGTACGTCAAATTCTTAAGATCAGGAACACGTTTTATAGCACGTCGTTGTACACCGTCAAGAATATCTAGGTCTTTGCGAAGCCACGGCCGTCAAGCCTGTAACGAATATTCCACTTTTGGTTACATAACTGCCTCTCATCAAATCTATCTGCCTCCAGTTTGACAAACGTTCTGCGTATTGCCCTCATAGTTGACGCTACCCACACTGCTAATTTGGAAAACTGCGTTGTTACGCTTAAATCGTCATTAACGAAAGCTCCAGGGTCTTTTGCGTATTTACAGTCTTAAGCGGTTGATTTTTCAAATTATGCTGCCGTGAAGGGGCATTTATTCTTCGGCTTGCTGACATTATTTGCATTGAATTTCGTTCACCAGAGTTCGCTCCATGTCTGAAGCCTTTTTATATTCTCTGGCAATGCTGCGAGTCTCTCTCGTCTTTTATCAGCCCCCACAGCTTAAGATCTACAAAGAGCGCCATATCGGACTTCACTTACCGTACCAGGTTATTTACATAGATAATAAATAGGAGAGACCCAACAAATGATCCTTGTGGAACCTCACTTTTAACATGCGTCCATCCTAAACAGTAGCCAACCGAGGTAACCTTTTTTACGACCAGTTACGATATCCCGAATCCAGTTCAGGAGGTCTCCTCTAGTCCCTAAGTATGGCCTTATTGGAAGAGGCGCTTTTGGGGGATGTAATCGAAGGCTTTGCTGACGTCGGAGTAAATGACCAACCGGGTGTCCTTCCTCCATTGCATTTGACCAACATTCGACAGATGTAAGGAGGTTTGTGAGGGAAGACCTCTTCACGTAGAAACCGTGCTGAGCAGAGCTGATTTGACAGCGGAATATATCAAGCGATATAATCGATTTCTTGGTCGGTTCTTATTTCGTAGCCACACCTGCAGTGGCCAAGCCTTAAACCTGTGCTAATAGGTGGCTTAACACTTACCACTAACCCTGACGCCTAACACTAGTCCCCAGCCCCTGACCTTAACACATAACCTCTGACCCCCAACCCCTAACCCAAGCCCCTGATCCCTAACCCCTGACCCCTAACACAAACTCCCAGCCCCTAACCTTAACAGGTGCGGCTACGAAATAAGATCTTAGCGATTTTTTAGTGACTATCTCCAGTAACTTACAGCATATGCATGTCAGACGGCGACAAAACCCAAAATAGCCGTAGGTATACTGTGGATCATTTCATACGGGAACGGAGGTAATGGAGGGGAGACAAAGCAACTACGTCGGAGAAACCGGAAGACAACTCCAAACGAACATGTCCGAACACGCTGCGGCAGTGCGGAGAAATGACGCCAGCTCTCAAGTTGCGGCTCATTCGACGGGTTCCGGCCACACATTCAAATTCAGCGAGGCCGAAATTCTCGCAAGAGGTGACGACCGCGTGAGCCGGGAGATGCTTAAGTCATGGTTTACTGGTCCCCAGTCTATTAACAAGTGCAGTGATCTTCCCATTCAATACTCCGTGCTGAGACTTCGTCTAGGCGGAGTAGTTGGCCACGCGGGGAGCGCACAGGTGAACACTCTTCCCAACACCCCGGTCAGCGCGTCAGATGGCCGAGCACTCATCACACCAACATCCAACGCACGTGATGAAATTGCAGCAATTAACGACGCGAATGTCGGCCACCACGCCACGTGCAGCGATCCCTGATGAAGGGGGGGGGGGAGAGCCGTGAATATTCATAGGTATACAGTAGCATGGCGACTGCATCCTATAAATACTGCAGCCCCTTATGCATGTACCGCCAGTATCTGCTTTTGTCGCTGATGATAGATTCGAGCAGGAATTCGAAACGTCAGGCTAATAAAGCTCTTGTCCCGGCGATCGTGTCCTCTTCTTCAAGACTGCTTCCTGAGACTCGTCTCTTCGCTTCTACTGGCAATGGAGGGGGGAGTTTAACGAGTGGGGCAGCAAGCCGAACAGTAAGCTGACGAAACGCAGGAAGACACAGAAGGCAGTCAGTGGCGAAAACGACACTTTAAAGTGAAATGATGAATTTATGCAGACATGGTATCCAGCTGGATATTCCGTGACTTTCGATCTTGAAAGAATCCCTTACATCCCCTGGCGGACATTCCTGTTAGCCCTCAATTCATGCTCCATTGATCGTCATTTTTTGTTTCTCCAATCTTGGGTTGAACTGCCAGTTACCATTACTTAGCAAGATTATGGATCGACATACATCCGCATGCTCCGTTGCTTATCTTTTTCGATCTTGGTTTTGAGCGCGCAGTCGTCGGTGAAGAGCGGGCATGGACTGTAGCTGCAAATGCCCGCGTTGGCGCTTGAATGGGCTTGCTGTTGAGATATTCGTCAGTTCTATAGGTGATGCGTATCCCAGGGCGCTCATCACGGCAGGCGTCCATCAGCACAACAGTGAACATGAGACTGAAGATGGTGAGAGCAAATACGCAGCCCTGATTCACTACAATAGCCACTACGAATGCCTCGGAGATAATCCCATTGTTCGTGATGCGCGCCATTATCTCATCGTGGAGCTGACGTATCATATGCGTGAAGCGCTGAGGGCAGCCGAAGTTCTGCATGCTTTTCTAAAGTCCCATGCGATTCACCGCGTCAACGACTTTCATCAAGTCCACGAAGGTGGTGTAGACGGGGTTCGCATCCCCCAGCACCTCCTATAGCGGACGAGCGGCAGAGACTGTGTCGGTGGTCCCGCGATGTCGTTCAAAACCACCCTGGCTTTCCAGCAATAGTCTTTGCTCGAGGTTTCCGTTGAGACGATTGAGGAGATGGCGAGGGAAGATCTGTCCAGCGATCTTGAGTAACGAGATGTATCTGTGGGCATTTCAGAGTTGCCGGTTCCATTTGCGTTTGTAAACATGGACGATGGTTGCGTCCTCTGAGTCCTGCGAGACCTGCCCTCAGTCTCAAATCTAGAAGAGCGCTGTGAGGTGATCTACTAGTCGGTGACCGTCGTGTTTGTTGATTTCAGCTGGGATTGCACCAGAACCTAGTACTTTCCAGATGGAGAGTTAATGTACGACACGGATGGTTTCTGGAAGGGAGAGCGGAGATCCAGGTCGATGTTGATTTCCGCTCGGGGAGCCGATCGCTGGCGGCGTCGGAGATTACAGAGGAGCGGTTGACAGTGCTTCTGAAGTGTTTGGCCCAACGCTTCAGAATCTATAACTTCTCCCTCAAAAGCATTGGTCCATCGGAATTGAGATATGCCGCGGTCTTCTTTGTTGGAGGGTCGTAGATAGCCCTCATAGCAGCGAATAAAATCTTTGTTTCATTGCGTTCGGCATACCCCTGGATCTCCTTGGCCTTGGGAACCATGCAGGTGTCCTGAATTTCTCGCAACCGTTGCTACGCAGGCGGCGACGTTGGTAGAAGGCCGCTTTGTTTGCCTTAGTCGGGTGGCCAGCGTAGGCTTTGTATGCAGTTCGTTTCGGCGAAGAGGGTGCTGATGGCTGCGTCGTCTTCGTCGAACCAGTCCTGGTGTTGACTAAGTGCGCGGCCGAGGGCACCCAGGGCGGTCGAATGGACGGAGTCCCGCAGCTGGCACCATCGAATCTTTAAGAGGGAGGTTTCGTCCGGAGCTTGTAGGTCTTCCAGGTGCTGGGTTAGGTGATTGCTGAAATGTAGACGGTCAGCAGGCGAAAACAACAAAACGGTATTTAACTTTCCTGTTGTTCGCTTACCTTGTGGACTACTGCAGGGTTGCCTGTGGAGCCTCATCTTGGAGGGGACGAGGCTATGGTCCCTCCAGCCATCGGCCTCACAGACTGCCTGGGTCATCAGTACATCCTGTCGGTCGCGCCGCCGGCCTAGAACATAGTCCAGCAGTTGCCAGCGCCACGATTGGGGGTAAATTCACATTGCGGTGTTCTGCACTGGTTTGCAGGAAAAGAGGCCATTGTTGTTGCTGCGGACGATTTCGTGAGGATCCAACACTCCCCTCCAAGTAACGTAGTCTGTCCCGACGCGGGCACTGAAGTCACAAGGGGCGATCAACTTGTAATCCTTCGGCACAGACGCCAGGAAGACGTGCAGGTGTGAGCAGAACTCGATCTCCGCATCGTCAGAGCCGGCCACTGGTTGGACGCAGGCGCTGATGATGATGATGATGATGATGATGATGATGATGATGATGATGATGATGATGATGATGATGATGATGATGATGATGATGATGATGATGATGATGATGATGATGATGATGATGATGATGATGATGATGATGATGATGATGATGATGATGATGATGATGACGATGATGATTATGGAGAATAGGGGGAGATAGGAAGTGCATGCTAATCAGCCGATCGTTCCTGCCCTGCGGCAGACACGACAGTCGTTCCACGGTGTCTTTCCCAATGGCAAAGGCGTCGCCCGCGTCCCGTCGCTGCCTTTGGGCGGTCGCTCTAGAAGACGATGTAGGTTTACCCACGTCGTCCGGCTGACCCGGTTTAGAGAATCGGGTCTCGGTGAGAGCAGTGATGTCCACGTTGTAACGCGCTAGTACTCGAGCGGCTAGCGTTGTCCTCTTTTCTGATCTGTTGTTCCTCGGATTGTCTAAGACGGAACGAACATTCCAGGCTGCCAGAGTGAGCGGACTCACCCTAGCAGACTGTAGCCTGGGGCTGAGGGGAGGAGGGGACGTAAGAGAGTATTGTTGTCCGTTGTCGTTTATCGACTGCAAGATTTACATATACGATCCATGGTATACTAGCAGATTGAGTGATTCCCCACTATTTGTTTAGGACACGTTTCCGAACCCCTTGCCCACTAGGGGGCAAGCAGTGCTATCCCCAAGTAGGGCTGCTTAAACATCCCAGAAGGTCGCCGAACTCCACCATTGGCCACGGCTTTGTTTAGTGGAGAACGACCTGAGTTAGCACTGGCCACCTAAGGGATTGCATATCACCCTCTTTGTAGGAATTTTCGAAGTCATAACTAGGGGATGGGGATGGGAGGTAGGGGGTGGATGTGGGGGAGGGAGGGAGATGGGAGGGAAAATAGGATTAGCACGTGTGGGGACACCCTACAGAGGATACTCATCTTCAACATACACAGCAAACACGGCGTATAACTTTATGGGGAGTTGGATTACCTGATTCATTCATGTTTACTTTGGTTACTCGCGCAGCTTATGGCCGCTGGTTACACTCAGTGGTGCGACTATATTCTCATCGGCTTAGCCGCGCATTCCCGCTAGGGTTTGACGCTCCAAAACAGACAATGGCGATTCTTTGTTTTGCTTATTACTGCACACATCTCTAGTTGTTTTGGGTCACTTATAATGCTCCCACCCGTATAATCTCTGTTTTCTTTAAAGCTCTTCATTAGTGACGTGTAACTAGGGGGCAGAACTGAGAACATAACTTGTCTAAATTGTTGATTTTTCATTTTGCTCTGGGATTTTTGTCCTTCGTGTCTTGTAGTGCGAACGCAAAGGGTAAACTCCCCTTCCATGCTGGCAGCATCTAGCTCCAACCTTCCCGATCCTCAACTGAAAGACGACCGCTAAAATCTTATTGGGGGTCTAAGCGCTTAGTAGAATAATTGAGAGTGTAACTTTAAAGAACTTGAGGGTAGGATTTTCAGACAGACTGGTGTACAGGCCCTCAAAAAATATAACGGACAAATTGGCTTGTCTCAATGCGGTCGGAAGTATTGACAAGATTGAATTTCCGTATCGCGTAATTTAAGATTTACATAAATTAATTAGGTAGCTGGAATGCTTGCCGTTTACAAAAAACCATCGCGATACATAAGATTGCGCGGGAATTCTAGTGTTCAAAGGCGAAATGTGATACTTAGCACATACAGTGCGTGACCTATCTCATGAAATGTTGGCTGAAATTCTGAAATGCGTTTTCGATTAGGAAGGATTACTTGGTCGCGGTTGTGATACTGATTATCTTAAGGCGAAGTTGGTTCCCTTTCTCTTAGCAGCCGAAATCGAAATAGGTTAAGTCGGCAAAACTTGAGTGACCCTTGATTATCTTTGAGAATGTCAGAGGGCATTGCTGGTACAAACGTGCTTACCATAGAGCATTTCAGAGAGGTCGGCCTGCCGTCATTTTTGATGAGCAAACCACCGTGCCCACGAATGGAAGCTAGTATGCGAATTCCAGGTTCTTTTTTAAGCAGGGTGAACGCACGCCCGCCAAAACCAATACATACAGTGGGTGACCTATCTCATGAAATGTTGGCTGAAATTCTGAAATGCGTTTTCGATTAGGAAGGATTACTTGGTCGCGGTTGTAATACTGCTTATCTTGTGGCATACTCTTATAAAATTTCGGACTTGGCAGGATGTCGCCTTTAAAATGTACTTCTTTTCAATCTCCTGTAGAAAGCGTGCTCGGTAAAAAATGACTACTTATGTAGCATGAATTTTTCCCTTTGATTTTCGATGGTTTTGGAAATTCAAATATATTTTATAGAAACCATGAACAAAAATATGCCTTCTTTTAGTCAATCAATAGAGAATCACGTCTTCTTTATATTTTATACTTAAGGAAGGAGTATAATTAAGTTTTAAAAAAGTTTCCTAATTGCCGAATAATTTGGAGCCTGATCATTCGTTGCATTAGCGCTTAGTGATTACACTCTACAAGGTGCATGCGTTCAGCGTAAAGAAAATCGCATATTTTTCTGTGTCATTAAAGAGATATCATACAGGGTCCATAAACTTTTGCAATGGATGCGGACCATGTTGTACATATCATGAGGGGCAGTGGTAAACGTCCAGGTACGATGCAATGTGAATGGACATCTCGCGGTCTTAAAAAGTCTCAAAATTGGAAACTTTTTTAAAACCTAATTATACTCCTTCCTTAAGTATAAAATACAAAGAAGACGTGATTCCCTATTGATTGACTAAAAGAAAGCATATTTTTGTTTGTAGTTTCTATAAAATATATTTGAATTTCCAAGACCATCGAAAATCAATGGGAAAAATGCATGCTACATAAGTAGTCATTTTTTACCGAGCACGCTTTCTACAGCAGATTGAAAAGAAATGCATTTCAAAGCCGACATCCTGCCGAGTCCAAAATGTTATAACAGTATGCCTTAAGATAATCAGTATCCCAACCGCGACCAAGTAATCCTTCCTAATCATAAACGCATTTCAGAATTTTAGCCAACATTTCATGAGATAGGTCACGCACTGTATCAGCTGACGGTCAGATGGTACTCAAACAAGTTGTTGCCAAGCCTCCATCGGGTCTCAACTGAAGATGCCGTTGACGGGAAAACAATTTCCGGACAGGTAAGACCTCAGATGACTGGGGATGTTAGTAATGTTTAAGCTAACTAGTCCGCAGTCGTTTGCACCCCTTTATAATCTTCAAATAACAGTTGTCGGAATGCGTGGATACCCTTGTCGGTCTTTGTTTTTTTCTGAGAATGTTACTCTCTTTTAAAACAGCAGAATTCTAACATAAGTTTCAAAGACGGCATAAAGCCATGCACCATGAAGTCCATTTGTTCTAAGACATTAAATCGAGCAAAGGAGTCGAGCCTATTGTAAAAAAGGAAGTCACTCGGTTTACTGTCCTTCTTCGGCAGCCACATTTCATCCTGCTATTTTTCTGTCGAAGTCGCAAAACTTTGGAAACGTAGAGCAAGCATTAATGCTTGTTCTCAAATGCAGACTTTGCAATAGATGCACAAACGCACGAAACGCGAGCTATTTGGATCCTCGTTCTCCGGTAGTAGGTTGGTCAATAAAAGCAGCCTTGTAGCATAAAAATATGAAAAAGCTGTGAGAATTAACACGGCATTTGCGCGCAGATAGGAAGTTTACCATGGAACGACATCCACTGGGAAGGTTGTCAAATCCTCTTATCTCCTGTGAAAACCGTTGTGAATTAGCTTCGACAAAACATCTTCCAGATTTACCTTCCCACGTGAGTTTTGGGCAAACTCCAGCTATTCCCAATGGAGGCTTGAAAACAACTTGCTTCAGTGTAACCTAACTCGCAACTGATATGTGCAAACATTCATATTTTGACTTTCAACACTAGAAGCAACCCGCCGTTCCATGTAGGGTGATAGGTTTTGGCTTCCCCTAGAAGCATCAGACAGATAGACTCAAGGATTTAGAGTTAGATTTTCCTTCCTCTCAGCCTCTCTCTCTCTGGAACATGCCTTTCTGTGTCTGTCGTTTATAATAACGGTTATATGCTCACCGATGTGGTTGACCCATTGGACACTCGGATCATTTCAAAACATCTGCGTTCCTTGCTACTAAAATGGAATACGTTACCAGAAAATTTGTCCGTTGCGTTTTCGCTAATGATGCTGAAACAAGTGAGTAAAAAAGAAAGGAATACAAGATGTCGAGTACAGAAGATGAAGATGCGATCACTGAGACAAGGAGTTTATTTGCCTGACGTTTCGGATTCTCACTCGAGTGAGAATCCGAAACGTCATGCAAATAAACTTCTTGTCCCAGTGATCGCATCTTCATCTTCTGAACTGCTACCTGGGACTCGCCTGTTCGCTTCTATCAGCAATGTCGAGTACAGTATCTGAATGTTTCGGCTTGAAATCATACATATTGGGGTAGAAACGCAAAGCAGTCCGGTAAAACAGTGACTAATAGGGTATTAATAAAATCTACTAGTTTAAATATAGCACTAATACGGGAGGTAGAGGACCAATTCGAATCCAGCCGAAGGTTATATTTTTTAAAGGGCGAAAATTCGCAGGATGAAGACTTTGGTGATTTTAGCTTTTGGGCTCTCAGAATTGTCTGCTATTGAAGACAAAATTGCAGATCACCAAATGGCGAGGTGACCAATTGTTATAAATGCTTACCCGTGGCCCAAGGAATGGTCATCCCTCCAACCTCAATAGTCATATTCATAATCGTACAGGCGGGCCGAAAATTGACAGCGACCTGGCCCCCTGATTAGGACGCATAGAGCCACCATACATATTTTCTGTTCGAAAAGCAAATTCTGCTAGGCAATGTCAACATTTGTTCAAAGAACCCAAAATCACTGCTTTTTGCCGCTGATGTCACGGCCTCTCGTACAAATTCGAAAACTCAGACGACAGCTACCCTCGGTCTAATGACCAGATCTCCACCATCATCTCCGACGAAATTTCTATCTACGTTAAGATGCCTTTTGCGGCCTTCCTGAGCTTACCTTGTCGAATGTTGTGTGGTCGACAAGACAAAGATTCCCAACCAAAAGTCAGGGAAGACGGTTTGAGTTGGACAACCTTTACTGCCTGAGAAAGTGCGTACACAAGGGCTCTGTAGGCAGCTGCCGCAAGCGCGCTCCAAGCAAGCTGTTGTCTGTGTCCGCCTTCGAGGTGTTGTCTTAGCGCGTGTGTGCGCCCTTCGTTGTCTCCACGTCGCCAGCCAATCGGAGTGGGGACAGCGGTGATTGGCTTCGAGCACTCGCGCGTCCCAGCAGCATCTCGGCACGGAGTGTGAGGCGGACAGGACGGCAGCGGGACAAAGGCGGAGGGTGAGGAGACGCGAACCGCCACAACCTCATTATGTTAAAACTCTTGTCCGTCGAAGACTGCTCATATCCGCGGGTGTGATTGAAAGTGGAAGAAATTTTTGGAAAAAACGCTCCCTTTCCCGCATCTAATACGCAGAATTTTTAGTTGAATTACAGCAGTCTCATGCAGTCGCGCCTGCTAAAAAGGCGAGTTCCTAGACACTACCAAGTAGGCGGAGGTTGACATAGAACTCTACAGGATGTCGGGAATTGACTGGATTGGTTCTAAGCTCGTACTCGTTCCGCCAGGTATCGATAACGCCAGAGTTATATTAATAATGGTGGGCAGATCCAGCTTTTTAGTTATTGATTTATCACCCACCAACTCCTAAACTTATCTCGACTTCGAGCACGGTGGTTAAGGGGCCTAAACCCTGCTCAGTAGTACTGAAGCCGAATGTTCCGGTCAGCTATAGACCCACGCTTTGTTTGATATCGTCGGGAGCTTCCACAGTGTTGAGCGAGTGATTTCACCGATGTACCGTGACTGGTAGACAGAACTCGGATGCTCAATCTTATTTGACTGTCATAACCTAGAGCCTAATCAATGTTATCCTTAGGCGATGAACAAGAAACCATCAGTATAGGTTTACCAAGAAAGGCACGGTGGTTTTACGTGTCATTAGAGGAACAGTAAGTGGTCATGAAAGTGCATATATTCGGAAAAAAGACATATATAGGACAGTATGTTAGGCACTGAAAATAGTGAACTATTAATTAGCCTTTAATAAATGCAGCCTTCCGTATCCGTAGCAAGCATTTGAAGGAGTAGTAATTTTGATCGGCGGCTATAGACAACAGGGAAAAGCTTTTCAGCTATGTCCTGAAGTCTAATATCCACTGACGCCAGAAAGGGAATCAGTATGGATCAGATCGGGCCGTAACCATGATAAATAGAGCAACACTTGCACGTCCATAAGAAGTGAAATCTAATTCTTTAAACTATGGTACCAGCAAGTAATAAAATGGGTGCACATAAATAAGCGCGATAGGGCCAGCCTGTTCCTGTTCGCCTGATCATTGTCTAAGCCTTGACAGTAGGGTACTCAGGAAGTACCGTCGAATTCACATTCCGGTTTCATAGAGCACCCCTACGTCTCCTTCAATAGAAATCTTGCGAAAAAGCCTTTACTTATTAGAAATTTGCTTGCCATGTTTCTATAGACTTTAGAAGGGGTTTATTGAGATAACCTTCCAGGACCATTGCCCTATTATTCACTAACGAACTAACAAAATACCAACTTACACTTTTTTACATTGCTGTAAACACTTTATTTCTTGATTGATTCGATGTAGTTCCACTAATCTATTCGTTCACGCACCATCCTTCGATGTGAGGATTGGTCTGTTTCTAAGTACCTTCGTCAAAGGCGAAAAACATTCAGGGAAGTTCGAGATTTCGAAATGTTTCTGAGTTGAACACTGTCAACTGTTACGAAAAAGGTTTCGGTTTGTAAGGAGCATGACTTCGAGGGATAATATTTCGTCATCCTCTCCAGTTACAGCTCTCCAGATTGTTCGGATGTGAGGACTGTTCTGTGAATCCTCAGCCAAAAAATGCAGGCGGTGTAAACGGCCACAGTCCTATTAAAGCTTAAATTAACTCTACGTCGTCACATGGTATATCCAAAGAGCCTACCGCTCACTCAGCAACATTCATCGGTTGCTTAACTAATAAGATGCTATTAAGAGGTTGCAACGTTGGAGAAACTATCGGGTATGCCTACAGCTGTCTTTGCATTGCCTCCGGCTGACGATCAGGCGGTCAGGCAGATCGAGAACCTATGAGTAGAATTGCAAAAACGGTCTGTCCAAACGTAAAATTTCAATTGCCGTGAGTAGCACCGCTGCTTGTCGTTGAGTTTGGCCAGCCCCCATGAGCTGACAATTGGTGCTCGATGAGAGGACTGAGCAAATGTCAACAGAAGCATTTGTAGCCACGAAGTAAATCCACACAGTTCGGCATTCTTCCTAAAATGCAAAACTGCATACATTCTTTTACTGAACATGCAGAGTAATCAGAATGAGATGACCTTCCTTGCGAAGGGATCTTACCTCTCATTAAAGTTCTTGAAATGCCTGTTTTTCTATGCGTGCTGATTAACACATAGAAGAAGATGGCACGTTTTTAGGAAGTTGACTTGTCATTATTGGTTGAGAAATTGTCTAGGGTATTACTTTGCCACAATTTTCATATAGTTACTGGTTTCCTACCTTTGCGAGAGATGTCTTTCTCCTGCAGGTGCTCTCAGATTGTGTTTAGGAACACGGATGCGAAGCAAAATAATCACCAGGCAAGTTAGGGTCATGCCTAAATGACTTTTAAAGTCAGAAAACAATACCTCCCTCTCCTCTGTCAGGGAGTTTCTTCCTATGACAGTGGTATTCCTCCGGCCCGAAATTAGTCTTTCAGGTTTTTTAGATATTGCGCTGTTTGGGAGCAGCCGACGTTTAAGTCGACATGCCCTTATTATCCAGAAGAGTGTTCGAAATAACTATGGTGATTAAATACACCTTTAAACACCCCTGTAAATATCTATGCGTTGCTCTGTGCTACTTTGGTTTATTTGAGCGGTTGAGATTCAAAACTTTCAGTGAGGAGCCTTACGGGATTGGGGCTGGTTTATGTGGGTTCAACGCTTGGGGTTAAAGTCGACATCAGGTTGATGCGTACCTTTTATTCGTTACTAGCATTACGAACTGATAGAAGTCACCTGAAAAGCAGCCGCAGGATCTGTTAATGTCAGTGAATCCCGATATGCACGCCGGCTTTCGGGTCCTTCCTACATGCGTCACATTTATAATTGCATAGATGGCTGGACGCATAAGCCTATTGGAAGGTTTTGACCGACATAATATAGGTGTTTATGTTGGAGAAAGTGGGACGCCTAGAACGTTGGTCGTTCGGACTCGCTGAGGTCAGTTTTGCGGATTTAGCTGAACGGGCACATGTTACATCCCGAGGCCACATTGCAGGCCGTTTACGGCAATGGCTTCTTTCAAATCCTCCTCGCAGTCTGTTGCTCTCTTATTACCCTTGCAAAGGCCTTTGAATTCCAAACCATCGTCTTCTTTCACTTTAGTCCTCCCTTCAACTGTTCCTCCCCCATTTTGAGTGGATTTCGCAATGTCACTTGGCTGGACAAAACTAGTTTTTTGAGTCTCCAAGCGCAAAATCAGTCGTCGATGCCGAATAACTTCATCCCATCGCTTCAGCAATGTTGGGCCTTTGTTCAGGACATTGAAAATGACACTAACGAGGGGCAAGTCTTCCATACATTTAGTTGCGATCAGTGGGTCTACTCGGATTACATGATGTCCCGTACTCTAGTCACAGACTACGATCTGGTTTGCGATAGACGCTACCTTATTGCTGTCATGGAGTTCGGCATTCTGCTGGGTTTTGCCCTTGGCTACGCAGCATCCATGTTCACAGACAGATTTAACCGCAGGAAATTAATTTTCTTTTACATTGGTTGGGAGTGTATCACTGTGGTGAGTGTTAATCTGGCTCCAAACTTGGCTACCCTCTTTGCCGTCCGCTTTCTGCGATCCTTCTCCGCTGGTGTTTGCTACCTGGCACAGTGCATTGTGGCGGAGTTGCTGCCCACAGCAAAGAGAGCCGTCTTCGGGACTTTGCACTGGGTGCCCTATGGTGTGGGTTACATGCTCAGCGCCGGAATTGCCTACCTAACACGAGACTGGTACTTGTTTCATGCCTATGGCCTTCTCATCCTCCTTTGCTACGTACCGGTCCTCTTTATCCTCCCCGAATCGCCTCGCTGGTTGACAGTGAATGGAAAGCACGAGGAGACCATCACAGTTTTGAGGAATGTTGCTTCATGGAATCGCGTTCAACTTGACGAGGCTTTCTACGCCGATGCACTTAAATCTCTGGTGGAATTGGAGAATGAAGACGATGAAACAGTGTTGTCTTCCAAAGACAATCGAGAGCGTCCAACTACGGGGACACCGGCCAAGCGGGACTCTCTCCTTGACATTATTTATTTGCCAAACATGCGCTGCCGTTGTCTCATTCTCGTCTTTGTGCATTCTGGCATAGCAATGTGCTACTACGGCCTAGTTCTCAATGCGAGTTTTGCCAGTAATGATGTATATCTCAACGTCTTTTTTCAGGGCCTAACTGAAATTCCATCCGCAATTCTTGGATGGATAATGACAGCCTATGCTGGCAGGAGGCTGTCGTACACTCTGCTCCAGTTAGTGACCGGGTTAACTGTCATTGCAGCAATCTTTCTGAAGGAGGTTGACTTCATGGCTACCACTGTGGTTGCCGTGGTGGGCCGAACTGCAGCCAGCACAGTCTTCACTGTGTCTTCCCTCTACGCAGCGGAGATATTTCCCACCACGGTGAGAGTTATGGGTATCTTTATTGTCCTCTTTATGGGTGCTCTGACTGCGACACTTGCACCGTTTGTCAATCGACTTTCTGAAGTGACATACTTCCTGCCTACCCTGATCTACGGTATGATCTGCACCCTCGGATCACTTATGGTCCTTTTGAAACTCCCGGAAACCAAGAGGTGTCCCCTCTCACAAACACTGGGTGAAGCCGAGCGTCTAAAGCAGGGCCATGAAGATGAATGGATTCAAGAAATAACGTTGAAGAAAAGTTTTATCCGGGAGGATCTCAAAATGTTGTGAGAGTTGGACCTCCGTCTATTCTGAAACCTTTCAGTTAGGATGTAAACCGATTTCTAATACGAACAGGCCCACGCCTTTATAGGTTGCGAAGTGAATATCTTCTTTTTCCTTGACTTATGCAATTTGCTATTTGTGACTTTAATTCTAGTCAAATTACAAATAAATTTTGAATTCTTCCACTATCACCACCAAGCCATATACTGTTTTGTTTGTTCAAGCTCCATTTAAAATAACGAATGAACAATGGAGAGAGTCGACTTAGATGGAAACTTAAGAAACAGGTTTCTAATCGCCCCATCGCATTTTAGTTAATAGAGATATTTTTATTGTCCCCCAGGGCACGCCATTATTTAAATAAAAAATAAGTACTGGAACTTCATCGTGCTTGTTTCGTTGCGTGAGCTATCCGTTAAGAAACAGGCCCCTCGCTAGGCTGTTCTCAAACAACTACGTTTCGTGCGAGCAGAAGTATGGTCAAATAGGGGACTCGTGTCCATGGTGCTAGGACGTCTAAAGCTGCAGATTGAGACTTAAGTCGTGAAAACGTCAGACAATGCTCTTTTCATGCAGAAAACGTTTATGGGTCATATTGCCTGACAACTTGTTTACAAATGTTGACAGAAATTATAGTTCCTTTATATTTCTGCACCTCCCTAGGTGACTGACCATCCTAGACTAGGTTTGCGCACACCTACGCATCTTTCTACGACTGGAAATTTGTCTTGGCTGGAGAGCTTTACCAGACGAAACTTGACGCACTTGAAGGTAAAGCAGGAAGTAAACTAGCCCGTTATTTTTTTAAAAAAACAAGCGTCTTTTCAATGTTAAAAATTTCATATTTGTAAATGGATGCGATTGCCGCCCTAAAAACCGTAATAACACTTACAGACAATCCTTTGTGCAAACATATCCACAATTTTCTGACATTTGCGGATGTTTTGAAAGGAACCATCAGAAGGCTCACCGTCCAGTTGCTGTCTGAACGTTTTAGCATATGGTAATACGCCTTTTTGCCGTCTTCCCTCTGCTAAAACCGAAAATAGAAACGAGGCCGGCACAGCACTAACATGTGGGAAGACATTATCATACTTTAATGTTCACTCGGTAGGCAGTTATAGTAGTGGAAAGAAACTAAAATTCATATTGACCCAACTGTGAAAAACTCGGCGCCTCGGTGGGATTCGAACACACGCAGAAAGGGAGCGCTTTAGTACAGCCAACGCTCTAACCACTTGAGCTACGAGGCCCCGCCGGACGACGCGAATTTTATCACATTTGAGTCAAGTTACCCGCTCAACCTATTGCAACTTCTGGAATTCACCAAATCTGATACAGTAAGTTGACTGCCCACGCAGGATTTCCCAAATAATTCACCTGGAATCCACTAGATGACTATCAGGTTCACGTAATTCATAGGTATTTTGGCAGATTTTGAATAATTCATATTGACCCAACTGTGAAACTAGAAGTTAGCAATTATAGCGGAGACGTACGGGATTTCAAAATAAAAATAAGTTCTTTCGTCTGCGGCAAAAATTATCAACAATTCTCAAGGAAGTGAAAAAGCGGACCCAACATGTTGATTTTTTCCGTAACTTTACCCTGGACGAAAATGAACTAGGTGCACTTTTATCAGCAAAATATCATAGTAAAGTTTTGTTAAAAAACAAATTATTAAAGAATGTTTTCCCTTCGATCAAAGGCTTGTTAATTTTGGGCTTTTGTTGTGAACGTTTACTCAGTGTTTGCGATTAGGTCTCTTGTCTGGCGAGTCTGCAAATGTAACCCGAGCATTCATCATTTTAAAAAAGAACGCCGAGAAACGCAACACTATGGCAACTGACAGACACAAATTACGGAAGCTATCATTTCAGGCGGTCGATTAAGCTCACTCAAAATCGCAAAGTATTCTTTGGCATTGAAATGACTTTATAGTGGACAAAAATTACACAGGAATTTTATTTGAGAGAAGTTCTCTTCGCACACAGAAGATACTATGTTTATGACTGCATCTGCTATTTCCACTCGAGTTTAATAGTCCCTGACCAGCCTCCCGGTCTGCGACCTTATGGAAACTTCTTTCTGGGCGTTACTCCGGATGCCACTTGTCGGGCGTGCGGGGAGGACTGACCAGCTCTCAGGGTGCGGCTCATTAGATGGGACCCGGAGACGCCTTCAATTTCGGTGAGAGCGAAATTTTCGCGATAGGTAAAACTACGAGAGTTACGAGTTGCTCGAGTCATGGTTCTCCGGTCGAAGTCGATTAACAAGGGTAATTACCTCCAGCTTAACAATTCAGTACTGAAACTTTGTCTGAGTAGAAAAATTGGCCCCCGGAGTAGGCGAGAACGAAGGCCGCTTCCAGTGGCAGTATTAGCGAGCCTAGTTGCTGAATCATTATCACGCTGCTAATCAACATCGATGATGAAAATGAGGCAATTAGAGACTTAGATGTGGACCAACAAGCCATCATAGAGCCAAGTAAGACCACCAGCAGTGAGTGCGGGAGCTGCTATTTGTAGTATACATGTGACCGCATGTCAACAACATCCTAAAATGCTGCTTCCCTAGCATCCTCCCTACCTGTTGCTGTCTGTGATTATGGATTCGAGTCACAATCCGGACCGTCAGGCAAATTGACGCTTTGTTCCGGCGATTACGACCCATTTTTCCGAACTACTTCCCCGAACTCACCCTTTCGCTTCGATCGTCAAAATTTCTAATCTTTTATTTATTCTAGAGTTACTGTTCCTGTTTTTAATCTCAAAGTATTCTTGCCTGGCTGATTGGCGCACGCAGTCTCTGATCACAAATGTGCGAGCATTTATTCACACTCCAGGTCGTCGATGCATTTTGAGAAAATCTCAGTCCAACGGTGCAAAGGGACTTCAGGCTAGGTGCACTAGATCAATAAATGCATGAGCTACAGCAACCGATAAAAGACGATGTTCGTGAAAGATCAGCGTCTGAACGCTTTTTGAATTCTGTGAAAAGATAGCGAGAGAAAAAGGAATGTGCATATTATCCTAAAAAGATTTTTCGAGAGGTCTCCTATCCACGTGTGATCTATGAAACTGTTGTACAAATGTGCCTAGCCAGCAACTAAAATCCAAGAGAAAGTAAGTAAAACGGCAAACAATATGCTTGACTGCAGCGAAAAAATGTGCTTTTTATCATGCCATTCTATGATGTCATAAGCAGAGTTCTATTGCTGTAATAGGAAAACAAGCCAAACTAGTAGATAATAAAAACGAAAAACATCTTTTCATACAAATTAAGGAGAAAGCAGATTTGCATGCTTGCAGCAGCGGCTTTAAATACTTCCGTACAGAAATAAATTGGTTTTCTCGTTTGTTTAACAACATATTTTTTAAAAATTACTTAATAACTTCGTTGTTAGAACAATATAACTGAAGACTTGGTGTAGCCTGTGCCCCTGTCAAAATGACACATTGTTGCCTATCGCGCACTTCAGGAAGTACGTTCAATCAGTGCACTCGAAAACAACCGATCAACACCATTCACTAGTCTAATTTAAGGTCTGATCATAAATCAAATGCACCACGCATGTGCCCTTTGGGCAGCTTGGAATCTATGCACTAAAAACATCCTAAGCAGTGGCTCAGAAATATGAAAACTGTGTAACTCATACTCGTCGAGCTGAATATTTAACAGTGTACTGTGTAAAATCCTTCAAATATCTCTACTTACTGACCAACCGAAAACTTATTTATGGCCAACAGTCCATCTCATCTATGGCTGTTGTTAGCTGGACTCCCACCGTGTGCTGCCTTAGATGGGAACTGGGTCGCGCCATTTGGTCTCACGAGCGTGAAGCATCACAACAGAGGGTATGTCGACGTGTCTGTTTATGGAGTTGTTAAGAAAGGCCCTGACCGCCAGCAGTTCTCGCGCCGTCTCATTGCCCACCTGCGTCATTATCCGCGTGCCTGCGAAGTTGAATTCGTGGCCCTTCTCCAAGGTACCGGTGGCGGATTGGATCAACGGGTCTTCGTGCTGGCTGGCCTGTATACTGACAAGAACAGACGTGACATGGGATCCGATTTTCATCTGCGTCCATTTGGTCCTGCATCTGTATGGCTTTGCTACGCACGATAACTGTTGGACGATCGACACTACGCCACCATCTGTGGCTGTACGTTCTGATTAATATAAGGTAGAGGGTGCCAAAATATCAGTGGCTCTCTGCCGTTTGTTCTTCTTGGGCGCGTATGGAGGTAGCTGCTTATGAAATAGTCTGGGCGCCGTTCTTTGCTTACTGATTTCGGAGCTGCCGCAGTTCCTGCGCTCAGGTCTCCACTTCGTTCCAGTGCTTTTGCCTTTTGGAAGTACACCCTAAGACAGTCATTTTTGCGTACATTAAGGCGGTTGATATGATAGCTGACGATCTGGGTGGTACTAGTCGTTTTTCGAATTAATAGAGGTCATTAGATCCTATCGATGAGAGTTTACTTTTTGGACCGTCCATCTGGCTAGATTATAAGTGGAGCCGTCTCTAGGGTCACCAGTTTCCCAAAAGGGATCTTTGCACTTATGGATCTTGGGTAAACCACAGAACTTGGCCTACGATGTATCAGTTGATTTCGTTCTCCGTCCGATCACTTTTATGCACCTGAGTCGTTTTACAGGTCCGGTTAGCTGGCGGATTATCGATGCAATTCATCACGACAGTTGTTCTCCCTTTGTCAACAATCAACACTATTATATCCTTGTTCATTTAAAAGTCTGTATAGCTTCGATTTCCGCGAGCGATATATTATTAGTGTGCCTTCCCGTCATCAGCTAAGGGATGGCTTTTGGCGTATGGTGTGCTTAGCCTCGTCAGTTACTTTGGTTCTTACTAGCATGACCTAAAAGGCAGCAACGAAGTCCACCGGCTTGCCATCCGCTGTGTAAAAACTGGCTTCACGATTCTGCACTCCCCGTTCCTGTTTGCCTAACTGATTGGACGACAGGTTGCACATCAAATTTTCATCTGTGTTGCCTTCGGGTTTCAAATTCAGTAACTTCAGGTCTGGATTTATTCGCTTCACTTCCTGACTCATTCTGCCAGAGTGAATACTATTCAGTCGAGGCGATCAGCGGCGTATTCGCCGGTTCTTTTTTAATGACAGTTCAGTACTTGCATAAGCGCGGCAGTAGTCATTGGCGAGCACTCTCGTGAGTTGCCCGCGAAAGCGTTGCATAATTTTCCCGGGATTCACCGGGGTTCTGTAACGTATATTCTTCGACGTCAGTCCGTCAGAAATGCATTTGTGCGAAAGGCGGAGCTCCTCAGATGTGCTTGCTATCCTGTGCAGAATGCTTGCAATAAGTATCAAAATCGTTTCCTGAAAAAAGACAAATATTCTGCTGGGTAGAGATGGTTATTTATAATTTAGTGAATTAATGAGACCAGCGAATTTAAATCGAAAGAATATCTCTTCCAGGAAAATTTTCGTGTAACCTTGTCGTTTATTTTTAACTTATGGCTACTTTTGTTGAGGTAGTTTAACTATGAATGCAGGTCTGCAAAACTTAAAGTATGTGAAAACCATAGACTGAACAAATCATTCTTGCAAGCATGTGCAAGTTGAGCTTAAATACAGTTAAAACGATGACTACATAATTTACAGATACCTTAGGTCTATTTCCCATTGAAATGGATTCCTTATTGCATCGCTTTCTCAAGTTATCTTTGAACGCTAAAAAACAGTTTTCAGATGTCGGCCTAAAGTATTAAATTTCGCCTAGGATCTGAAATTACCTCGTGAGTATGACTGACGAATTTTTGACGCTAAGCTTCCTATCCTTTGTGGAGGCCAACAACATACTCGACCGAATGGAATTATTTCATTCAACTATTCACTAGAGTATAAGTCCACTTGCTTGAGAACGCACTACTTCAGTCACGGCCAAAGGCACCGCTCCACTTCTCAGTGCCGATGGAGCTACCTGTCCCACTGAGAGGAGACGCACATTCTTAAGCGATGGGTCGAGCACTTCAGAGGCGTCCTCAAAGGCCACTTCACAATCTCCGAGGTCGCCATCACCCGTCTGCCTCAAGTGAAGACCAACGCCGACCTCGACCCTCGCCCCCTCTCTACGAAACCATCAGGGCCACGCGGCAACTCTCCAGCGGGAAAGCGCCCGGAGCAGACGCGATACCTGCTGAGATTTACAAGCACTGCGGCCCCCGACTTATCGATCACCTGACAGCGCTATCCCAGATTTAGCGACAAGGACAAGTCCTTCAGTATTTCAAAGACGCCACAATAGTCCATCGCTAAAAGCGAAAGTGAACCGCTAACTCTCCGACGACTACAGAGAAATCTCGCTGCTGAAGCATCGCCGGAAAATCTTCGCCCCCATCCTCTTCAACCGTCTTAACAGCCATCTGGAACAGCGACTCCTGGTGGAAAGCGAGTGCAATTTTCGCAGCCATCGTGACACCACCGTCATGATTTTTGCCGCCCCCCTCTCCCAACTGCAGGAGAACAGTCAAGAAATGCGGATCCATCTCTGATCTACCTTCGTGGATCTAACGAAAGCCTTCGACACGGTGAATCGTGAAGGACTGTGGAAAATCATACAGAAACTCGGCTGTCCGGAACGATTCACTTAGATGGTGCATCAGATCTACGATGGCATGATCGCGTCATGGACAATGGAGCCGCATCAGAGGCATTCGCAGTGACCAACGGAGTGAAGCGGGGCTGCGTCCTCACCCCCACACTCTTCAATCTCATGTTCTCTGCCATGCTAGTGGACGCCTACCCTGACGAACGCCCCTGGACCCGCTTCGCCTAAAGGACGGCGGCGAACTCCTCAATAATCGGCAGATGCGCTTTCAGTCACGTGTATCCACAACTTCCGTCCATGAATTTCTCTTCGCCGACGACAGTATTCTCAACGCCACCACAGAACGGGACACGCAAAGGAGCATGGACCTTTTTTGCTGCCAACTACGACAACGTCGACTTAGTCATCAACAGTGAGTATACATCAACCACCACCCAAAGCTTCCTATAATATACCTCAAATCAAAGTAAACGGCGCCTAACTGCAGACCCTGGACACCTTCACCTTTCTCGGCAGCATCAAAATGGACGATGAAGCGGTCCGCTGGATTTCTACAGCCAGCCAGGTCTTCGGTCGCCTGCGGAACGTCCTCTGGAAACGTCACGGGCTCCACCTCAACAACAAACTCAAGATGTACAAAGCGGTCATCCTACCGACGCTACTGTATTGAGTGGAGACCTGGACGTTGTATAAGGAGCAAGCGCGAACGATCAACCACTTCAATCTCATCTGTCCTCGACGGACACTAATGCTGAGGCGGCAGGACCGGATCCCAGACCCGACGTACTGGAACGGACAGGAATCCTCAGCATCCACACCATGCTGAAACTACTGCAACTGCATTGGAGCTCCACCTCGTACGGATAAACAACGAGCAGCTACCCAAGGGACCCTTCTATGAAGATGCCGCCTCGGGTTCTCGTCGAAAATGTCAAGCCCGGCGCCACAAGGATATTCTGAAGACTTCCTTGACGCGCGTACAGATTAACGTGGCTGACCGGGAAGACCTCGGCCGGAACCGACGGGCCTGGAGGAGGACATTGAAGGCAGGCGCAGGGATCTACGAAACCAATTGCATATCCGCAGCCAAAGCCAAACACGAAACTCGTAAATCTCCACTGCTCCTACCTTGCAGCGCCAACGCTCAACCGCCCCCAACATGCCCACGGTGTCAGTGGACGTTCTGGGTACCAATCTTCGAACCAACTGCAGCACCCGAACCACACCACTTAATGTCTCCCAGTCCACCTCTGCCTCGTCTCCCACGTCCAAAATCAATCCAAGCGCGCTCCTGATCCTCTATCACCATCCTCCACCGCCCCAAAATCTGCTGCGACGGCTGACACAATTCTAATGCACCATCAAACGTCAGCCTTATCACCGCCAACACCAGTGATGTGGACTCGATCCAAATCTGTCAAAATCGCGATCGCACATTCACCTCACACATCGGCCTGGTCGGACTTATTCAGGTAATTTTCTCACTACAGGTCGATATTCCCAGTGGATTTCGACTGCCACCGGGGAAACACTGTTTCTCCCTTAGGCAGAAGGCGACTAGAAAAGCCGCCCTAAGCGTGCAAGACCCACACAAGTTAGGGGGAAAGAATTATCTGGACAACCGTTACTGATTTAAAGGACAACGGATAAAAACAAGCGCAAAAAGGAAGTAATAGTGAGTGGATGAGGATAAGTGTGCGAAAGTCGATGAGCAAGGGACGGCCAATAAGGAAGTCTGCAGCAACACTTATTCACGTCAGAGGGTCGAAGGCGGTCAGCTAACTCGTTAAGTCGGCAACGTGTGTGGACCGAAAAAAGGGAGCGAGCACTTGCAGTTGCATAAGAGTCCTGCAGCACGCCCTCAGAATCATGCGTTCATCCCCCCTTCCCCCATCAGTTGATGGAGGCTTCCAAAGGTTAAAAATCAGCAACCTTCTAGCCCACGATTCGACGAACCAGACTTCAGGAAAACCCTGCTAGCCTTGCGCAAGTTGGGCATATCCACTCTTAATAAAACTCACTCCTCGGAGTCAGAAACGTTCAAAGAAGTCTTAACGGGATGAGAATTCGTCTGGGAGTGCCACAGAAAGAAAGGCGAACTGTATGTAAAAACAGTAGTAGGTGTCTAAGCATTAAATGCACAAAACCGAACAGAAATGGATATTGTGCGCGGAGGTCATCGATTGTGAATTAATCGATTTTTTTCTCCATCCTCCCAACGATGAAGATCATAGGCCGCAGCACTCAAAGCGTGTGGAATAATATCTGCGTCAGCTTTTGCTCCAGAAGACGGATAGCAGTGTCGATAGAATCGAACAGGCGAGTTCCGGGAAGCAGTTCAGAAGACGAAGGTACGAGCATTGGAACAAGAAATTTATTGACCTTACGTCTCGGATTCTCACTCGAACCCATCATCGCCTGCGACCGTCTCTGATGATGGGTTCGAGCGAAAATCCGAGACGTCAGGCCAAAAAATTTCTTGTTCCAGTGATTGCACCTTCGTATTCTGGACGAATAGCAGTTTCAAAGTGAAATATATACACTTTGATAAAAGTTTAAAAAGCTGGCCGACCATCGGAACATTCGGTTTATTGTGATGATCTATCGAACTCGTACAGGGGTCCATCGTCGGGGATAGTAGAAACTACGGTGGTCGACCAGTCTTCTTCTTTAGTGGTACGTAGACATGGAACTCGGACTTTCGCCCCCTCTCTGCTGGAAGTTTGCCGGAAAAAAGCATGCGCACATGCTTGTCAAGGGTTGCTGCCCACGGGCCTTGAAAAGCGTGCATTTCAACCTTATATTACTCACCAATTCCACCGTTTTAATAGTTAGAAGTACTAACCGCCTATTCACTTATTTAGACCGAATAAAGATATTTAAATAAACGCAGCCCTCACCAAGCATGACGTCAGAAGGCGGAAAGAACAACGGTACCATTAAAAAATAACAGGAAGAATCGGCCAGTAAAAAAGTACTGCTTCGTTGGCCCTTCATATTCAACAACTATCAGAACGACGTCACAACATCGGTTTTATAATCTTGGGATCTAGGCCTGCTGCTTTCACACTTTTGGTCTGCAGTCAACGAACTGAGACCTCATCTATAAAATCCTGTGGCCCGATCAGTTCCCGAGTTAGGGTAAAAACAGGATTGCTGAAGTAAGTTGCTGCCATCCACCGCAAAAAATTTCACAGAGGGCGCCTACGAACGGGGGGGGGAAGTTTTATGCTGAAGGGTGAATAGCACCACGCTCCAGATCAGTGGAAATGTCTTTTCACTGACTATCTACCTGCACACTTCACACAAAAAACCAGACGGAGAACTACCGATCCTTGCCGTCTGGTTCATGTTTTCATCCGCCTCTTCACCGAACCGTCACAAATTCCACTCCCAAAGGAAGTAGATCGACCCATCCGAATGACCGGACAATTGATGTCAGTAAATCAAACCACATTTTACTTGGTCAACTGTTGTTTTATTTCCATTTCCTGGCGTCAAAGTTGATGAGACGTTAATGAATCCAGCTATGGACACACTAAAATTGGTTGCCACTAAGCGGCCATCACCGATCCCTTTTCCGAGCATATTAGGGAAGAAGCCTGGGCAAGTGCATCTGTCCACTCTCTTGATATAAGCATTACGAGAAAATTAAATTCGACTCTCTTCCAAGCCCCTGCAATCCCCTCAAGTGGGGTGTAACATGTTGAGTTGTTTTATTTTGATTGCGGGAGGATTGCAGCTCCACTGGCCGGGAAGCGCCTGCAGCTGCGAAACACGATAACTCGTGCCATTTCAAGACAGCCATAATTCACGACTGCTTTAAAATTGGCAGCTTTCATGGGCGAAGCTGTTTCCCTTTCTCTTAGCAGTCGAAATCGAAATAGGTTAAGTCGACAAAACGTAAGTGACCCTTGATTATCTGTGAGAATGTCAGAAGGCATTGCTGGTACAAATGTGCTCACCATACAGCATTTCAAAGAGATCGGCCTACCATCATTTTCGAAGAGTAAAAATATTGGAAAACCACCGTACCCAAGAATGGAAGCTAGAATGCGAATTCCAGGTTCTTTTTGTAAGGAGGGTGAATGCCCGCTCAAACCAACACATCTACTGTCCCTGTGATTGTGTGTTCATATTCTTCACAAACATTTTACTGGTTGTGGGACAGCTGAATTGGTATACTTGCGTGCTTTGACCATCAATGACCAGATTGCTTCCACCGATTTCTGTTGCTCATAACTGAATCATCTCGAGACTTTGTGTAGGCTTCTCAGTGAAACGTCATGTTTGCATGTGGTCTATGCGAACAGCACACTCACGGAGCAGAGTTCAAGGAGACGGACTTGAGGTAACAATGTTTGGAACAATGGCGCAGAATAGGGTGGGTCCCCATGGACAAACACTATTCTGTTGGTAAAATTCGCTTATAATGTCTGACAAAGGAGAGAAAGTGGACACCTGCAAACGTTGATAAGGGCGAGCAAGACAACGACCGCGCAGTTCGTATTTATGACATGCAAGCGTGGGAATACTCGCTGATCCGTGCAAATGCATTAACACAGAAATCACAGGGAAATACAGTGGTCGATTTCTGCACTTCCACATGAAGTTGAAGTTTGTATGGTTACAACTATTCGTGACAGTTGGGTAACTTGAAGAAAATATGGAGAACACTAGTCGTGCTATCAGAATTAGAGCTAAATTGTTGGCAGACTGCCGTAACCTAAAGACACAGAGCCGGTGAACTGTTTACGTTGACGTCAAAACTTCACGACCGCCAGCATTTAAAAACTGGCTCATGATGGATTGGCGGTCACCTTGGAATTTTCCGCATCCAAAAACGGTCGTCCCCACGCGAAAGCCGCAGTCAAAAGCTAAAGCGATGACGTTCGACGGGGTCACGCGTTGGATAGTTTACGTTTAACGCGCGCGGTCCTCACATACCGTCACGACCTCCTTATTATCGTTTGCTGTCCGCTCACATATTTCGTCCACACCTTCGAATTCCAGTCCATAATTTGTCTCCATCCCACAAACCCACCTCCACTGCCCCTCAAGCCGCCTCAGAAAATTTAGCCGGGTCACTTGGGTGACGAAATCAGACTATTCGGATTTCAGAAATCGCATCAGCAAGAGGGATAGGGTTGACTTGCATGGACCCCTAAACAGGGCATGGAAACAGAGGTCGTCTCCAATTAGTGTGGCTTTGATCCAACTTCCGGTGAAATTAGGATTAGGGTTAGGTTAAGGATAAGGTTTAAGGCTAGACATAAAATTAACGGTACGGTGAGTCAGGACCAAGTTTTGCGTTAAGGTTTAGGGCAAAGTTGACGTCAAGATTAGGGCGACAATTCGGTTTCATATTAGGGTTCTTGTTGAGGTAAGGACGCGGGAATATCTTGCCCCTTCCGGAATTATGCACAGTTCCGATTCGCATGTCCTGTTCAGGGGGCCATTTAAGTCAGTCCTACCGCAGAAGGGCATAAAAACACTTAGGTCAGTTGCTTCCGGATTAATACAGTGAGTGACCTATCTCATTAAACGTTGGCTGAAATTCTAAAATGCGCTTTCGATTAGGAAGGATTACTTGATCGCGGTTGTAATACTGCTTATCTTAAGGCATACTCTTATAACATTCTAAACTCGGCAGGATGTCGGCATTTAAATGCACTTGTTTGCAATCTCCTATAGAAAGCGTGCTGGCTACAAAATGACTACATAAGTAGCATGCATTTTCCCATTGATTTTCGATGGTCTTGGAAATTCAAATATATTTTATAGAAACCATAAACAAAAATATGCTTTCTTTTAGTCAATCAATAGGGAATCACGTCTTCTTTATATTTTATACTTAAAGAGGGAGTATAATCAGGTTTAAAAAAGTTTTCTAATTGCTGAATAATTTGGAGCCTGATCATTCGTTGCATTAGCGCTTAGTGATTGCACTCTACAAGGTGCAGGCGTTCCGCGTAAAGAAAATCACATATTTTTCTACGTCATTAAAGAGATATTATACAGTGTCCATAAAATTTTGCAATGGATGCGAATCATGTTGTACATTTCATGAGGAGCAGTGGTAAACGGCCAGGTACGATGCTATGTGAATGGACATTTCGCGGTCTTAAAAAGTCTCATAATTAGAAACTTTTTTAAAACCTATATATACTCCTCCTTTGAGTATAAAAAATAAAGAAGACGTGATTCCCTATTGATTGACTAAAAGAAAGCATATTTTTGTTTGTAGTTTCTATAAAATATATTTGAATTTCCAAGACCATCGAAAATCAATGGGAAAAATGCATGCTATTTAAGTAGTCATTTTGTACCGAGCACGCTTTCTACAGGCGATGGAAAAGAAGTTCATTTAAAAACAGACATCCTGCCGAGTCCAAAATGTTATAAGAGTATGCCTTAAGATAATCAGTATCACCACCGCGACCAAGTAATCCTTCCTAATCGAAAACGCATTTCAGAATTTCAGCCAACATTTCATGAGATATGTCACGCACTGTACATCAGTGCTTAAACTGTGTGCGGTTGTCGCAGACCTTTCTCTCCCAACCCACCGCAGTGGCTGTGATAGCAACACTGGTTATGAAACTGACCCAGCCTCTTGCAAGCGCTGTGATCGCAATTACAGGCAGAATGAGGGTGACCACCGCCTACTGAATTTCGAACCTGCATTTCCTGACCTATCTGATGAAAGGTCACGAACTGTGAACTAAAACCTTTATAGCGCAGGAACCGCCCATCCCTCATCCACGAAAATTATGCTCCGTTAGAGAAACGGCCGATCTTCAAAAGGGAGTACAGCTTTGCTTTTACAGTAGTATGGATTAGCTGAGGAACAATCTTTTTCGAAAACCATCAAATCTGAAAAACGACTTCATGCCAGGTCAACTATTCAAAGTCTAATGTAACTGTCTGCAGAGAAGGAAAATGCGATGCAATGGCGAAAAGATGAAAGCCAATGAAAATACGACGTATTAGTACTTTGTTGGCTGTCCCTTTGCCTTTAAAATTTCTGTAAATTGAGAGGACATGGAAATTACCAAGCTGTCTGTTCAATTATTGAATACAAAGTCCGGCTTTTGTTACATTCAAAGGAATTATCGTGCACCCACCCAATCTCTTTTGATTGGTGCAAAGAGATTTCCGATGGAATTTAGGTCCGAACTGCTGATCGGAATAAAAATACTTCGCAGTCCGCAAGTGGAGAGGCAGCCTTCAGTCCAAAAAAATCATTATAGTCGCAACCTAAGATGAAAATTACTCGGGTATCAGGAAATGTCCGATTTTGCCCAATCTTTGTCTGTTTTCCTTCCATAACATAGATCCGAAATGAAGTTTTCTTTAGTAAAGGGCTTTCTGTGTTTTGTATCAGTTCAATAAACCAAAATAATCAAATCAAATGTATGCGGCACTACCCTCTTAGTGCCGATCAAGGGCATTTCATGAGTTAGGCCATCTGCTGCATGCAGGATGGAGATGTTTCCCACTACCATGTGTAATGTGGGCATCTGCATTATTATACCAGCGGGTGAGGTGATAGCCGCTCTGGGTCCTTAACCAAATTGACTGGCAGACACCTTCTTCTGTCTGCCCAGCGTGCTTTACGGCGTTGCCTGCAGTCTGGGCTTCCTGTTGGTCTTTTGCTACTTACCTTCTGGTCTACCGCCTGACTGGCATATGATTACAAGAAGTGGACGCCCAGAATCACTTGGGCATGTGGATCACTACTTTACTTAACCCTTCGCTGCACCACTCTAAGGTGTCCAAGTCCGCGATGTCAGTCCTGTACCTCGTCAAATGGGCGTTTGCTTCCTTTGATGAAGACTGCTTTGTAAAGGCCTTTCGAACTTTTGTGCGGCTACACCTGGAGTTTGATATCCAAGCATAGAGACCCTGGCCCACTAAAGACTTCAGCTTATGCAAATAAGTTCGACTGTGGGCAACCGAACTTGTAGTTGGACAGGACTCAATATTCCACAAAACGCGAAAAAAACTACGTGTTACTGGTGCTAGGCTAGACACGTGGAAGTTTTTCTTCCCCAACGGTGGTTGAAACTTGAAATGCTATGCCTAAGGATGTTGTTATGCCTGCATCCATGGGACCTCTTAAAAGAAAGCTGGATCAACTTTGCGGTGTGCACCACAATGCCATCCAACCGTTGTCGCCTTGATACCTCGAGCTAGCAACTATTACTGTTGGAATACTACTGCGATATCTTAGTAGCGTTTGTTTATATGATTCACTAACGTGTCAGCCTCCAAGCACACTACTGACGTTCACCATTGCGCTTGCAGACCACAGGTCATTTTTCTTTCCCTGTAGCTTAGGCGTGCCTCGAGTAACCGCCGCATTACGCACCTACGTGAGTAAATATGTCTTCCAATGCTGTCAACGCATGAAAAACTTCGTTTATCTGTACAGCTTTTGATATCTCCTTTGATGTTATTTGATGTAACTACTTTTCCTAATCTTTCATATAATTCCTCTGCGCGTAACAAATAGGGATTTCAAGCATGTACACCAACTTTCCCTCAGATGAATTAAACTTAACCGGAAAAATACCCGAAACAAGGAAATGTCCACTGTCTCAGACGCTGGGCGAAACTGAAGGGCTTGTCTGCGGACACGAGTAGGAGTGGACTAAACACATAAATAGGATGAACGGTGAAATGACTGCAAACTGTCTGCCAGGGAGAAAAATTGGCAGACACTGTGCCACTGCTTACTTGATCCCCTCTGTATCTGTCCTTCACTTAATGCAAACACTAGACTATTTATGAGTCGAAAAAAAATCATAGCTCCTGTGAATATAATTTAGTAATACTTTTGAAGAAGAGCTCGAAAGCGATTTTGGCATATCGTCTGTCCAGGTAGTTAATCTTGATAATGCCAATGATTATGGCGATGATGATGATGATGATGATGATGATGAGGAGGAGGAGGAGGAGGAGGAGGAGGAGGAGGCGGGGGATAATGGTTTTGATTATGGTGATGTTGCTTGACTGATTGTCAAATAAGGAAAACAGGAAGTACCTGCACGCCTTTGTCGCCTTGTGACCGAAACTTTCCGAAATAATAGTGACTTATCATGTTTTCCCCTGTCTCGTTCAATGCTTCAGAGAACGTTTCCGTATTTCTGAGCATGGACAGAAGGGGGGGGCATACTGAAGTCAAAAAACGTTAAGAAAGACGGCACCACATTAAGCTCTTGGTGGGACCCATTTCCCCGAACATCGCTCTACAGTGAACGTAAGACGACCGAGCGACGAGATGCCCATGACGAATGCACCATCGAGGATGTGGTTCCGAGACGGCTCCTCTGCCTGCCGCATGACATCAATGTTCGTCTCATAGCCATCGGGCCACCGTTCTGAGGGAACTAATTCGCGCCTATCGTCAGTGCCTATGTCCTCTCAATGACCAAGTACGATGACGTGAAGAACAAGTTGTACGAAAACCTGCGGCGCCCTAACGACTTTACCGGTAGCGGACAGCCTGACTGTCCTTGATGAACTAAATGCCCCCATCGGCACCGAGCCTGCGTTTTGAGACGGAGTGCCCGCTCGCCACGGGATCAGCAACTGCGACAGCAATGACCTTCTTCTGCAGGTCGGCGCGAAATGCATGCTTCTCCTAACCAACACCTCCTTCAGCCTTCCAATGCAGCAGAAGACTACACGGATGCACCCTCGCTAGCGTCAGTGACAGCAACTGGAAGACGTCCTTATTCGGAAGCGTGACAGGTATAGCGTGCACGTGACTAAGTCGATGTGCGATGCTAACGGCTGAACAGACCACTGCCTTTTCATTCCAAAAGGAAGTTCTAGCTGATACCATACTGGCAACCGTGAGGTAAGGTAACATCAGGTAAGTTAAATATTGCACTACCAGATACGGCTGAGGAACGAGTCATGTTGAGCGGTTTCATGATCTCCAACCTGGAGAAAATACCAACCCCGGAGGCTCATACCAATATCGCGGCCCAGTGGAGGGAGCATCGGCATACCATCCAGACTAGCATGATCGGAGCCTCTGACTGCACACGACATCAGCATCAGGATTAGTTTGACGACAATGACGAAGAAATTCGCACGATGTTCTCCTAGAAACACAGGACGTACATGACCTACACCATGAACAGATGCAAAGTCAATAAAGCTGCACACTACCGATGCCGATACCTAGTACAACAGAGGCTGAGGGAGATGCAGAACTACTGACTAACAGGCAGAGTTCAGGAGATTCAGGGATAGGCCGACCTTGATGAAATGGGGAATTTCTTCGCGGACAACAAAGAAGTCTACAACTCACTGGCTAAGGGGACTACCCCACTGCTATTCCAATAGCGCTGGGCCGTGTACTTACGCGTATCCTCAAACACCTGTCGACAGTGGGCGAAGAAGCTATCAACTGGCTTCCTCAAGTGGACACTAACGACGATCTCGAACGTTCGTTTTCCTCCTTGAAACAATCAGACCAGTGCCGCAGCTCTCTGGTGTAAAAGCATGGAAAGCAGACGCAAATCCAGCGGAATTTTACAAGTACGGCTACCTAAACCCACTTAAACCTCCAACACTGTTCTAGGATATGTGACCGCAAGAGCCAATTTTCCTTGACTTTAAGGGTGCCGCCATCGTGTGCATCTAGAAACGCAAGAGAATGCAACACCTATATGATCACCACAGAGGTATCTGCCTTCCCAACATCACGAGCAAAATCTGCACCCCCGTCCTACTCAAACGCCTGAAAACCCTATCTGTGAGAGGGGGCTTCTTCCAAAAATTTAGTGTGGAGTCCGAAAATAAAATGGAACCGCAGATATGAATTTCGTGGCCCGACGACCACAGGGGAAGTGCTAGAAAGTAAAGACCAACCTCTGCCCTACCTTTTCGCATGTGATGAAAACTTTCAACTCAGTGGATAGGAGTGAATTCTGCAGAATCCTGCTGAAATTTGGATGTCGTGAGCGATTCACTTAATTGGCAATACAACTTTCCGATGGGATGATGACTCGCTCTGCAGGCAATGCGGCAACCTCAGAAGTATCTGCGCTGACCCGTGTGATGAAGCAGAACTGCATACGCTTTCCTGTAATATTCAATCTCGTGTTTTCCATTAAGCTGATAGACGCCTATCGTGAGAACCGGCCGCGGATCGACACTGGCTACCTAACCGACGAAATGCCGTTCAATATCCACCGCTTCCAATCACATTCGAAGGTATCGAAGGCCAGCGTTCTGATTTGTCGCTCAGAATGACTGTGCGCTAAACATCGCAACAAGAGAGGACAGCAGCGGAGTTTGGGTCTTTTCGACTTTGGCTGCTCTGACATCGGTCTGACCATCAAAATGGAGAAGATCGTGGTCCTCCACCAACCACCCCCAAATGTCGTTCACAACTAACTCCGTACCAGTGTCAGTGGACTCGCTGCACGGCAGCGGACAGGTTTGTGTACCTTAGGTGTACGATTTCAAGAAGCAACAAGACCGACGTTTAAATAACAAGTCAAATTTCGAAAGTCGGTCAGGCCTTCGGTCAGCTACAATACTTCTTCTGCAATTATCGCTGCAGCCTATTCAGCAAAAAGTGAGGATGTGCACTGCTTTCGTCTTGACAACGCTGAAGTAAGGGATGGAGACGTGGACTATTAACAAAGATCAAGGGGGAAGGCTCAATACTTTTCAACGACATTTAGATCCTGGAGGAAACCGGTGTCCTGCGCATCCACGCTGAGGCACTGGAGCGGCCGCATCACGGGAATAGATGACGAGCGCGAGACCTCAATTTCCACGAAAATTCGGACATTGCACGCATCCTTTTGGGGCATATGCGCATGCACAACAGCGAGATTCACCGCAATATCATCATAACCGGTCCAGCTCCTGAGCTCGGAGCCTCCGTTTCCATCAAATTTGCAGAAACTACCACCAGCCTCGCCACAACGAATAATCGACATCAGGTGGTATTTAGGCAGGCATTTGACGCCTTTGCATCTCATTTTGGAAAGTATGTATACCCCAAATCTGAAGGTTTAACCCAAACAAGAGCATCAATCCCAAGTTAGGCATCCTCCACAGGGAAATTCATCCTTAATAACTCTACTATATTCATGAGCTCATGTTGGCAATATCCGATGGAAACTTGCCCTAGCTTCATCAGTTAGAAACAAGACTTTGGTGTAGATAGAAACTAGTGGTTGGCCGCCAAATTCAAAATCTTCTCCGCAGCCCACTGTCCAAGTGAGGCATGCCCTCTAGGGAAACTCATCCTTAATAACTCTGTTATATTCATGAGCTCATGTAGGCAACACCTGGTGGAAACTTGTTCCAGCTCCGCCATTTGAAAACTAGTCTTCGGGGTGCAAATTAGCAAGAGGTTGGCCGCCAAATTCAGAACCTGCTTGACGTATGTGATGCAGGCGATCAAATAAGGTAGAAAAGTCTCGATGCAGGAATTTTGAATTCACCGAAATGTCATGCCTCAGGTTTTTTGCGATACGTTGTCGTCAACCCAGGCAATAACACGTTTTTGCCAGAGTAGAGTTAAGTATCATGTTTTGGATTAGCACTAAGTTTGCGTATCGGGGATTAGATTAGATATGCCTTTTAACGTTTCGGTAAAGTTAAGTTGTAGAGCAAGGCCGCGTTATCAGTTTGCACGCTTAGAGGCAAGATTATGCGATTTCGTTTGCCCCCAGGATTGGGGACCTAGGAGGACAAAGGATAAGAGTGTCCTACTCAATGTTCTGCAAATGTCCAGATCGTTCGCAGAAAGAGAGCAACTTTATTCCGTCTGGCACTGTCAGAGACAGCCAATGTTATTCGGGCGGCACCTAAAGTGTCCTCGGATAAGGGTGCGCGTGAATCGTGTTTTCTCCGCCGTTAGGATGTGAAGAAGCACAAGTGAGACCTATATTAGGGCTTAGCGGCTGGTGCAGACTGCGGCGAAACAGACCTCCTGGAGCCGTAGCGTAAACCAATCAACTTGGGCGTAGGCGAGTGCGGTCAAAGACAGTAGACATTACGGGCAGTAAAAGGAGAAGAAGCGTAAACAGAGCCCCGTTATTTACGCTCACAGAATGCGTCACCGCTGCAAACAGTCTGTAGGACTGTTCGCGGACACGTTGGTACAAACTAGACCACTTCGAGTTTACAAGTGACTGTAAACGTAAAATCAACAGTCGGAAGGAGAGTTGCTTACTGGAAGGTTTGCTGACATTAGGCGCAGTATGAACTACGAGGATGTCTTGAATGCGCTCTACGGTAATGGGCTTTTCCAGATAATACTTACAGTTTGCTGCTCGCTCACTAATTTCGTCCTCATTTTCGAATTCCAGTCCATAATTTTCCTCCATCTCACACCCAACTTCAACTGCTCCTCCAGTCGTCTCAGTGAATTCAGACAGATCACTTGGGTGACGAAATCGGACTACCTGAGCTTTCAGAAATCGCACCAACAGATGGACCTTAACACGACTTTGAAAAGTTATTTCCGTCCTTATACGTCAGTATCAGAGCAATGTTGGGCTGTTGCACGGCAGCGGGGAGATGATGGACTGGAACTTATGCAGCCATTTGCCTGTGATCAGTGGAGCTTCTCAAATGACCCGATGTCACGCACCCTGGTTACAGACTATAATCTCATCTGTGACCGTCGATATCTTGTCACCCTGCTTGAAACCGTATTTATGATGAGTGTAGCTGCAGGCTATAGCATGGCCATATTTACGGACAGGTTGAGCCGACGAAAACTGCTGCTTTTCTATGCAGTTTGGGATTGTCTAACGTCCGTCGGTATTGTCTTGGCACCCACCCTTGCTACTGCTTTCATTATTCGATCACTGCGTTCACTGTCGGCGTCCATCCTTTATCTACCACCCTGCATCATTGCGGAACTAGTACCGACTAGAAAGAGGGCCGTATTTGTCAATCTCTTTTGGATTCCCTTTGGACTTGGTTACATGCTGACTTCAGGTATCGCTTATTTAACACGTGATTGGTTCCACTTTCGTCTATACGGCCTTCTGCTCCTGATCGTGTACCTTCCCCTCTTCTTCATAGTACCCGAGTCGCCAAGATGGTTAACCGTCAACGGTAGGTACGACGAGTTCGTCAGGGTACTGAAACATATTGCGGCATGGAATCGTGTGAAATTGGAAGAGGGATTCTATGAAAAAGCTGTAGAGGCGGCCAGACAGACAGACAATGAGAAGGCTGCAAAAGACAGCGTGCCCTCGGACTGCAAGCTTCTTGATTCAGATCATTTTTGCGCAGTAAAAAAGGAACGTCCGCGCGACACTGTGCTAACTGTCTCACGCCTTCCGAATATGCGTTGCAAGTGTTTAGTCCTGGCCCTCGCGCATTCAAGTATTACGCTCTGTTACTTTGGCCTCAGCATCAACGCCACATTCACCAATGAAAACGTCTTCCTAAACGTCTTCTTTCAGGGCTTTACGGAAATACCCTCCGCCGTGGCAGCCTGGTTCATATCAAGCCATGTAGGCAGACGACTCTCCTTAATCCTTCTTCTCCTACTGACTACAGTAGCTGTGATAACAACGACAGTCATCAAACCACTCCAGCCCATTGCAAGCAGTTTTATTGCAATTGCGGGTCGCATGGCAGTAACGACCGCATACTGCATTTCGGACCTGTATGTGGCGGAGATGTTTCCCACTACCGTGCGTAATATGGGCATCTACATTATTATGTCAGCGGGTGCAGTGGTGGCCGCTCTGGCTCCCTATCTAAATCGACTGGCAGACACCTTCTACTATCTGCCCAGCCTGCTTTACGGCATTGTCTGCACTCTGGGCTCCCTGTTGGTCTTCTTCTACCTGCCCGAGACAAGAAAATGTCCACTTGCCCAGACACTGGACGAAGCCGAAGAGCTTGTCCGTGGACACGAGGAGGAGTGGATTGAACGCATGAGCAGAACGACCACTGAAATTACCCTAAACTCAAAGCAGATTTAGACTCTGTTCATATTCTGCATGTAAAGTCTTCAGCTGTCCGTTAGCCAATAGAATTGATCGGAAACTTCTCTTTTGTACTTCCTTCTCTGCTAAACATAAGGACGCCCCTTTATTACTAAGGAAGCCGTTAATTGGAAGCGACACTCCCTGAAGCCATATACAAAGTTCTTTAAATTGCGTTTTCACGAAGGTAATTTTGCGCAATGACATATCACGCTCTTGGTCATATTAACGACCCGTTTGGTGAAATTCGTTTGCGATCCCTCCTGAGGTATGAACTTCAGATGGCGGTAGTGGGACGTCGGGCCTTTTCTGAGTGCAGTGCCTGTAGTAAATCCACTGGGTATGTTCCTTAAAATGATCTTCCATTTGAGACCCAAATACTTCCTCAATGTCTCTCTTGGACTATTTAATAAACCTAATTTTGGATGTGTAAGATTTCAGCAAAGCTTAATTGATTAATTTTCATGCAGATCACACTAACGATATGCCCAACATACGAATACAGGATTTATATGCTAAAATTACATTGTTAAAACTGGATGTGTTTTTTGAGGTGATTGTATGATTTTATAGATTCTGTGGCCTCTGCCAATATTTGGTGAATGGCGTTTAGCTTCGATCCAGCCAGGTGTTGGCATTCTTAGGTCTAGGAAGTTACTGGGACTTATTTGACTTTGGCAGAATTCTTTAGCCCAACACCAGGACTTCATTTTTTCCCTCCACACTTATTGGGGATATTGTTGTACTTCATCGAAATTGCTGTAAAATTTCTGGTTGCTGTTGTTCGAAAGGGCAGACTTTCTGGTAAAGATATGATTTAACAAGATGTGACTACATGGTCCCAAAAAAGAACATCTGTCATCCATTGTGTGGTGCTAACCCCATGCATTAATTACATGGTCAGATTTCCATTATGAAATAACATATAAAAAAATATATAAGTTGAAAGTGCTCTGCATCCTTAAGTAAAAATATACTTTTCTAGGAGAACAGGAGAAATCAATAAGTCTACGCAGTCGAGGAGCATTTGTCGTCTGGCAAATCGTATGGTCCATATCGGCCACTTTTATTTGGAAAATTCTACGACTGAGATTTTTGGCGACTTCATCTGTATGTTCAATTTAATGGATCAAGTCCTGTCCACATATTTCCCGGTAGGCTTATGACTGTGCCGTCTAAGTGGCAAATATGATAGTTTGACTGCCGTAACCGACGACGTCTACCGTGTTCCTCACAGTAAGGTGAGCGCAATAACGGTGACATGCGTGTGAGATAGTAGTAATAATAGGCTTGCGCTGTACCTACCGTACCCTCCCCTCCTTTACCTTGCTGGGTCTGATGTCAGGACAGAATCAAGAAGACCGGACGTGGGAAATGACGCGGGTGACATGCGCATCCCGAATCCGCACTTGGGCGTGCCACCAGACCCCTGGTTCGCGCACAAATGACCAGGATTACACACAATAAGAAAAGGGAGCAAATAGGACCCCACCTGTGCGGGAGTGTCATAAGGGTCACGTGATGAAGGAGCTACTGCAGCCTGACCCTCCGTCCTGAGAGCAGAGCCTTTTTGTCAGATGACAGCCCTTCCAGTCACATTTTTTAACTCACCATGATGGATTCAGGCGCGTCACACTGGTTCCAGCGGAAAATATGCGCCGAGAGAGAGAGAGAGAGTCAGCATCACTCTCCCAAGCACCAGTCGACTCGCCTAACGAGCCGATTGTCCGATGGAGGACCGGGCAGATAAATAAAGTGGGCCAAATCCACAGCACGGCCACCAACACAAAGCAACAGCATTCTACGCATAGGGGTGAACAGGCCGGATCTCACATGCATGAGAGTGCCATAGAGGCCACATTAGGAAAGCGCCACTGCTGCCGGACTTTCAGTCCACTAGGTGGCCACAAAACTCACAAACACACCCCGGACTGACTGTGAGATCTGACTTTCATTGTCAGTTGGCAATCCTCTAAGCCACGGCTTATAGCGCACCGCAATAGTTCCCAACGCATCAGCTTGCTAATAGTGGGGAATGTGTACTGACGATCGGCCTCACTCGCCTCTCCTATCCTGCACCAGTCGATCCTCCTTCGATCTTGCTGGGATCGGGCGCGGCGGCTGTGCGTGCCACACACGACCTGGTTCGTCCACACACGCCGGGTCCTCACAGAAAGAGGATAGGCGCCTAAGATCTCACATGTGCTAGAATATCACAGTGACAGCATGAAGAGGAAACTAAAGGATACCATTCCAAATTAAGTGCGATGTTGCCGATTCCATGCTTCTGATGGGTGATGAGGAACAGGTTCCTGTGCGAGGTATGTGCTGGTGTGGGCATAAATGGCGATGGGTTTTGGTCGGTGGTTTTTAATGGCAAGTTTGCGTGGGTGGACATGTAGCCGAATAGTCCCATACAGTGGCAGAATTTATGTGGGCAGTGTTGGAAATTGAGGAGGTTGCGGTGGAGGCGTGTTGGTGCTCCGGGCACTGGCTCGTATATCTTTGGGCGATGCATTTTCAGGCGATCAACCAGGCCGATGCGTGATAGACATGTGCGGTAGCGATATCGGCGGGACGGGTTGGTAGCTGCTGAGATGGTTGCATTAATGTCAATGATGGTGGTCGTTCTGGCGGGTGAGGAATCGGGACTGCTGGATATGGAAGGAGTGTCGGGTGCGCAAAATGTCCTTGGTGTGTCGATATTGCAGTGAATTCCACTGTCGCGGATGCACATATGTCCGAACGAGCCTATGCAGTGAATGAATGTGCGTGGGCAGTGCTGACATTTGAGGCCGATGAGGTGGGTTTATGTCTGGGCTCCTGTCTGAGGCGGGTAGGCCTCGGTATCGTGGATTAGTTAGTGACCGGTCCGACCGATGCGTGATGCGAGGGTGCGAACGCAATGGGATCTAGCGCACATTTTTGATATCGTAAACAGTAGTGATTAGGGTAGTGGTTGACGGGGCGCCAAGGCCTCTCTCATTGAGGGTAGGGATTGGAAAGGTGGTCCTCGTCGTCGTCACAAGAATAATAGAAGTGGTGGGGCGTCGATGACATCGGCTGGGACGTCGTGGCATCAGGAGAGTGCACACCAAAGACGACGAAGTTGGTCATGGCTGTCTTCGTGAAGGTTGATTCAGGGGTGACGATGCAGCCACTTGAGAGGACAGCAGGTGGAGTTGTCGAGGTATTGTTATTTTGGGTCAGGAAATGCCCCAAGAGGCCGATCACTGCGCGAAATGTCCATTGGCAGCCTGGATAGGTTGGTCATGTGTTGGCTTTATGGGTCAGAGGCGCCTAAGACTTGCAAGACGCCCTTCTGGCTTCGGCAGCTACGATCCGGTTGACTTCATAGACTGCTGCTCTGGTCTCCACTGCACTTCTCCGTGCCGGACCGTTCTGGGCGAGGCTCCCTTATGTCGCCAAACTTATCTCTGGATCCTTAAAGGAGGTTCGCAAGTTGTTCTTGTATCGACGTTTTTGTTCGCCCTACCGGCGGGCATCCGTAGCGACATTGTTGGTGAAGAGTTGCTGGGTAATCACTTGCTGTCCATTTTTGCGATGTAGCCCTTTAATGGTAGTTTAAGTTGCCTCAGCACCGCGTAGACGTTGAGAATCTCACTCCGTTCCAGAACATCTGTATCCGGGATCCTGGCCCGCCAACCCCAGCTTTAGCATTCTACGGAGAGAGCTGAGAGGGAAATTATTAAGTTTTCTGGCTTTGTTGGCGTAGATGGTCCATGTCTCCGCCACTCACAGTAGCTTTGTCAGGTCTAGCGCGCCGTACATTTTGAGCTTCATGTTGACCTGAAGTCGGCCGAAGGCCTCTCTGGGTTGCGAGATTCAGTGGGCCACCTCGTCGTCGAACATGATGCTGCATACTAGTGTATTGCCTAAATAGACGAAATTGTCCATGAGTTTGTGTTGGACGCCATTAACAGTGATTGGACTGGTGTTGTATTCAGTGTCGGGTGGTGGATTTTACAAAAATACCGTTTTGCCCGTGTTTATAGTTTACCCGAATTTTGAGTAGCTGGAGACGAAGAGTTCCACGCTGCAGTTTATTTGGTAATGATAATAGGCAAGGCCTTTGATTGCATGTTAGCACGTTAGATACAACTGTACGCGATCAATGAAAATATTTGCTAGAAAAACGGTACTTGATTCATTTGAGTAGCATCGTTTCAAAAAACAAATTCCTCGGGTCGCGGGCATTTAGCTCAGGTCCCAACTGTCGAGGGAAGACAGGGACACAAATAATCATCAATGTGTCTCTCGGAGAGTTGTAGAGACGTCGTCACCACGACTGAATGAGGGAGATCATTCCATTTCTCCACTACCCTTTGTGTGAAAAATTCAGAACGAAGATTCAGTCCGGACATTTTGGTCCGTAGCTTCATCGAGTAACCACGAAGATTGGGTGAAAGGTGTCACTGAAACGTGTCCTAAAAGCTAAGTCCATGCTCAAGGCCATATAGTATCTTGTAACCCAGGATTAGCTCACCTCTTTGCTGCCTATAACACAGAGGGAATAAGTTAAGGCAGTTCAGTCTTTTTCTGTAGGGTTGGTTTTTTAAACCGTTCACCAGATTTGTTGCACGACGTTGCACTCTTCCGAGGCATGCGTGGTCCCTTACTAGCCATGGCCGCCATGATTGTATGCCATATTCTAAATGGGGCCGAACAAAGGCGCCGTAAACTCCTCCAAAAAGGTCAAGAACGCCCTTTCGATTGCATGCAGTACTCATATGGCGTTTTTTGCAGCCTTGTTGCACTGCAGTTTAGGTTTCATGTTGCTCTATATCCAACCACCGAGATTCTTCTAAGAAGATTCTGCGGGAGGTGTACTGTCTTTCAGGTGAAATACTCTAAGGCTCTCATTTGAATGACAGTTGGTTGGACGCAGATGAAGGACGGCACATCCCGTCCTGTCGCGGTGTTGTACGCAAAGTCGTCCTCGAGGAGCATGTCGTGGGCAGACGGAGAGACAGACT